GGGAATCTACCACCTGCAAGTTCTCATCTAGCTCCTGTGGGAGGCAAAGCAGAGTCAGACACGGTCTTTGCCCTCCTGACACAATGAGGTCAAGTGCATTTCCACCCGTTTGTGAGGCGGCACAAATACCTGGCGGTATTGCCCTCTCCGGCAAGTTGCATTATTTCATCTGTAAAGATTGTTGCCTTGCCTACTTTCAGAATTTTCCTCTGTAACAATTACTTATTACCGCGAATTGAGTTCTGTGGGGTTTCTTTCTTTTTTCTTTGAGTATCTTCTCTTTTACTCCAAGTCACTCGGAGTGTGTCCGGGGGAGGGAGAGTGTTGAGTGCACAGAGCGAGTGGAGCTCTGAGGAGGGGCTGCAGAACACCCCCACAGCCAGAAACCACAGCTGACCATGAGCTTCATCTTACAACCTGATTGGAAACAAAGTTGATTATATTGGATTTTTTTTTTTTTGAATCCTTACCCAAGGATATTTTTTCCACGGATTTTCAGACAGAATGGAAGGGAAGGAGGAGGGGGAGAGAGAGAGAAAAAAAAACATCGTTGTGAGAGAGACACATCAATTGGTTGCCTCCTGCACATGCCCCGGCTGGGGCCAGGGATCAAACCTACAACCGAGTTACGTGCCCTTGACTGGGTATTGAACCTGTGACCCTTTGATCTGAGGGCCAACACTCTAACCACTGAGAAATACCAGCCAGGACATATTAGATCTTTTCTTTTTAAAAATTTAAATTCTTTATTGTTGAAAGTATTACATATGTCTTCATTTCCCCCCCATTGACCTCTCCCCAGCCGCTTCCACCCCCCAGCACCTGCCCTCACTCCCCTTAGTGTCTGTGTCCATTGGTTATGCTTATATGCATCCATACAAGTCCTTTGGTTGATCTCTTACCCACTCTCCCCACCCTCCCCTGCCTTCCTTCCGAGGTTTGATAGTCTGTTCGATGTTTGTATGTCTCTGGAACTATTTTTGTTCATCAGTTTATATTGTTCATTATATTCCACAAATGAGTGAGATCATGTGATATTTATCTTTCTCTGCCTGGCTTATTTCGCATAGCATAATGCTCTCCAGGTCCATCCATGCTATTGTGAATGGTAAGAGTTCTTTCTTTTTTACAGCAGCATAGTATTCCATTGTGTAGATGTACCATGGATTTTTAATCCACTCATCTGCTGATGGGTACTTAGGCTGTTTCTAAATCTTTGCTATTGTACATTGTGCATATATCCTTTCTGATTGGTGTTTCTGATTTCTTGGGATATATTCCTAGAAGCAGAATTACTGGGTCAAATGGGAGTTCCATTTTTAATTTTTTGAGGAATCTCCATAATGTTTTCCACAGTGGCTGCACCAGTCTGCATTCCCACCAGCAGTGCACGAGGGTTCCTTTTTCTCCACATCCTCACCAGCACTTGTTGTTTGTTGATTTGTTGATGATAGCCATTCTGACAGGTGTGAGATGGTACCTCATTGTTGTTTTGATTTGCACCTCTCGGATGATTAGTGACTTTGAGCATGTTTTCATATGTCTCTTGGCCTTCTGTATGTTTACTTTTGAGAAGTGTCTATTTAGGTCCTTTGACCATTTTTTATTAGTTTATCTTCCTTTTGTTAAGTTGTGTGAGTTCCCTATAAATTTTGGAGATTTAACCCTTATCGGATGTCACATTGGCAAATATGTTCTCCCATGCAGTGGGCTTTCTTGTTATTCTGTTGATGGTTTCTTTTACAGTACAGAAGCTTTTTATTTTGATGTAGTCCCATTTGTTTATTTTTTCCCTAGTTTCCATTGTCCTAGGAGATGTGCTGGTAAAGATATTTTATGAGAGATGTCTGAGATTTTGCTGCCTATGGTTTCTTCTAGGATTTGTATGGTTTCCGAGGGCCAAAGCTCTAACCACTGAGGATACCAGCCAGGGCATGTTAGATCTTTTAACCCCTTCTCATAGCCCCATCTTCGCTATGAGCTCACTAACAATGAACATTAAATAAAGAACCACCCATTCCTCTTCCTCTTCCGTCTCTTTCTAACCCCAGCTTCAGCCCATTCAGTAACACATTAACTTAGTTTGTGCCTGCTTATCTCTTTTCACTTCTTGCCTCTCTGAGTCATGTCTCTCCTATGGTCTGTGGTACTGTCCTTGCTATCCAGGACTTTTCTCTTCTGGGAAGCCTTGGAATTCTGCCAATAACTATTTCCCTGATGCTGAGATAAAGACAGAGATAAAGACAGCTGAGAGGGCAAAGCTGACACTTACCAGATGTAAATGCCACCGTAATAAAATAAGCCAAAGGGTTCATATGTCAGTTTGTAAATTCTGCTTACAAAGGTGGGATCTCTGCTATCTGGACCCTCCTCTGACCCTGTTGTTGGGACTGTAGGGTATGATATTATGATAGATTAGAGAGTTAATGAATCCCATCTAAATTAACATTAAACTCCACTGGATTCTTCCATCTACCCCAGTGAGCCTGGCTTAGTTTCTCTGTTCTCCACTGCTGGAACTCTTAGACCCTCCAACAAACATACAGTGTTTATAATTCAAAACTCAAGGTATGCAGGCAAAGTTATTGGCCTAATCATTTGGAGAAAAGGACTGAGGGGTCTGGGTGGGAAGAGTTTGCTGTTTTAAAAACAGCACCATAGTAGTGAGGCAGGCCAGTAAGCCAAGAAAAATGGAATAGAGAAACAGACAGATAGCTGAAGGAGCAGGTCGGGCAATTTACAGCCAGATACAGGTCACTTCCCTAGAGATAACATCTTGCCTCAGTTGTATTTCAGCTCCAGGCCCAGAAAAGCAGCAAAACCACACGAGGCACACTAGGACCAGCTGCAATGACTAACCAACCCCTCCCAGGCACTGACCAATCAGTAGAGACCAGGACCCTGAAGAAGCACACCTGGAAAACTGATGAATATTCTGTTAAAACCCTCTCCTAAGATTACCATCTGCAAGAGAGCGAGAGAATCCTGGAGACAAAGAACCCAGCATATGCTCTCCCTCTGGGGAGCATGCCTGCACCATTCTCTTTTCCCTCTTCTTCCCCCACTTCTTCCCCCAAAGAGACAGACCTTCTAAACTCTAAGTGACTCCATGAGACCTGCAACCAGGGGAGCAATGGGCAGTGACAGCTCGTCTCAGGTTAACCCCCTGGCCCTGGCCCCAAGGCCCCCTTTTCACTGACTTTCCAATGAGCTAAAACAGCCTAGACTAGGCTCTCTCCTTTTGCTTCTTCTATGCTAAGACCTTTCTTGTTTCACTGTCCCCAGCTTTAATAAACATGCCTTCATAGTCACCTGCACTTGTGTTGTGAAATCTTCCCTGCACCTCTGTCCTGCCAAAGCCCAGGTGTGCTCCTAATACTAATTACTTGGTGTTACTAACATATAGGTTATCTCAACAAAGCATATACACACTTTGTTAATGTTATGTTAGCATATTTAGCAATTAAGATGGGATACCTCTTTTAATTACCTTATAAATCAAATATTCAAAATGTTTTCTCTTTATTGAGAGACTCTGTGATGCGTGGTTTTTATGGGAAAGAAGGTGGGAGCATCAAAGAAAAGTCAGATAGAAAGAAATGGGAGAGATTTTTCTAGATTCAGATACTGGAGCTGGTGTTTATCCTTGAATCATTTTTGCCTCAGAGATTTTACAGCTCAACAGAGTTACTCAGAATCAGAGTGACCGAAGCTGGCAGAGGAAAGGCACCAATAAAAGTGGGGTGCAGATGACTCTATACGGCTCCCTGCCATTGGCCTGTCTTCATCTACAGTTAGAAACACAAAGAAAGAAATAGAAAGGAAGGAAGGAAGGAAGGAAGGAAGGAAGGAAGGAAGGAAGGAAGGGAG